AGGAAGACCTTCGGTCTTCCAGCTTGGTCAGCAATGATGAGTTGAAGCAACGTTAACCAGCGCACCTCTGTCGAGTGGCATTAAACGTGGAAAAAAACAAATGTTTCTTCCAGATGTAAAATGTAAAACTAAGCTGGTAGGTCACAGGCTGAAGGAGGATATTCACATAATTTCTGTTTTTTATTATTTGATGGGTGTGTCTTGTACTGAGTTTTATTCCGAATTAGATGTAATATGCCTTTTGCTGTGTTATGATATTAAATTAGTGTTCTCCTAATTCCCCATTCTAGTATGACCAGCAGAGTGCAGCTGAAGCAGGACAGGCTTGTAGGTCTTACTGATTCCTCCAGCTGCTAGAGAGGATCAGAACATGAGGATGGAGAGACCAGCAAGTGTTGAGTCAGAGAAGGTCAGGTAGGGAAGTAATTGTTGCTTTTAGGGGCCAGGTGTGTTTGACTAAATATATTTCTCCAAGTCAGTTTATTATTTGTTTTAAAACTAATACCTCTTCTTCTATGTTACATTTTTTGCATTATTTTTAGTACAGATAATCGGCGTACTGTACTGTGTCTGCTAGTGGTTTAAATTGATTTCAGCTACATTCAAAAAAGTATTCAGATTTTAACTGGATCATCACAACATTGACTAACGTTTTATTTACAATTAAGATCTAAAAACCAGAGGACCAGATACGCAAAAATCTACCTGCAGACTTTAAGCAGCTACCCTGACACTGCAGTGATCCGGGCTGAGCCGCTCTTCCTCTCTCCTCCAGTGACGGGTTTTCATCACCAGTAAAGACAAACAAGTTTGACATCCGAGTAACTGCTGGAAAGTTTATTATATATTTTCAGTGCTCATTTTGTTATACTGTTTGGACTTACAATAAAATGTAATCTCTTTTGTAATACTCTGGATTTCACAAACCTTTTTCCCTCATTATGTGAAGTATTTGCATGTAATTCGCCCTTCATGCGAGATATTAAAATGAAACACTTTCAAGTAATACCAGCAAAGAAATCTGAATATGAAGTAATATGCAATTAGTAAAATAATACAATAATATACTGAATAAGGCTGGATGATATGACTGAACAATTTTTTTCATAACAGATTTAATTTTAGTCACCCTCAATATCTTT